CTCTGATTCTGACCTTGTGGACTCAAAGTTGTCTTGAGGCACAGACTACTGTAATTATTTCTGGCAAGAGCTAGAAATGTGGAGTACTAAGAGCAGTGTGTTTTTTTTTTTACTGACAGGGGAAAGGGAACAAAGTGCGAAGCCCCTAATGGATTTTGAATTGCCACTATTTTCATTACTTCGTTTGAATGGGCGTTGGTGCCCTTTCTTGCCTGTAACATAAAAGCCCTCCTGTCCTTTTCAGCTAGGCGCAGAGTCCTTATGTCTGCCACTGAGGATTATTCTACACAGAACTCAGTAAGAGATCTCTTCCCCTCACCAACAATTTGCCTTCTGCGCAGCACACCTTCACCTCAGGAACCTCACTTGGTTAGCACAGCAGTGCAGGTGAATTGTTATCACAGAAGGCAACTTGGCTTACACACAAAGCAGAGCCTGGGGGACTCTGCAGACCTCCCTCCAGTGCTGTCTGATCAGATCTTTCCCACATTCTAATTCAGCCCCACCTTTCATTCCAAACATATTCTGCATGGGAAATGGGGGTCGAGGAAGGCAGTGTTAAAGGGGAGTTTTTAAATGGCAGTTGGTGAGCTTTTTATTTTTATTCTCTGCTAGGGAACATTAGGAAACCATAACAGCCTATTTAGAAGTAGGATGACCTGTCCAAAATCTTTTCAGCGCCTCCACTAAAATAATTGGCATTTTAAGTGTGTCACACTGTACTTCTTGTGTTTCCTAGTCATTTGATTCCACTGTCCACTGTATTTTTCTCTGCATGGGCTATCTGAGGATAACACTTCATGTGTTAGATAGACTTTACACCATGAAAGGTGTGTTTTTTTGGTGGGGGGGTGTCACCATGAATCTGCTAGTCTTTAAGGTGCCACAAGACTTTGTAATGGTTTAATTTACAGAGCTTTTAAAAGTGCTTAATGAGCATTTATGCTTTTAGTGCCCTATTTGGACCTCCATATTCTCCTATTCTTGGAGAGCAGACTACTCATGTGTCCAGGGCAAAATAGATGCAAAAAGAGTTTTAACTAGCCTTGAAAGATCCGTCTCCACTTAATCCTTTCCAAGCACCTAGTTCTCCAAATATTAGAAATCTAATGTCAACCATGCTATCAAAGGTTTTAATAGAGCTATTCAAAATGCACATTCCTGTTCTGCGGCTAAAGGATTTTTTTGTGGAAGTATTAGGAACCTTCTGCTCTTATGGAAGTTAAATATTTCCCAACAGGTAGAATGAAAAAATGGGACCATCTTGGATGAAAGAATAGTAAATGCTTTTGCTTGTTAAACAGATGAGTCTAGTGTGTTATAATAGTGGTGTGTTGTATTACTAGTCCAGATCCTGCATGTCATAGTCCCAGTATTGAAGGCAAATATAAGCAAGCCCATTGTGGTGCTCATTTCCCAATTTTTTGTGCATTTGGTGTAGATAAAAAGCAAGAAGAATGCTGACCTCTCACTCTTCATAAGTGCGCGTTCTCCCTATCAAAAGAAACTGCTAGAAAGAATGCACACAGATTGGGGAAGTGTGTCTTAAATGAACCTGCAGAGGATGACTGTTTACTAAGCAATTTCTATATCACCCATCCCACACTCAGGGTATCTAACAGCAATGACAATAACAGAACGTTTATATGCAACAGAAACAAACTCTTACAAAATGCCGTTTCACCTAGTAAAATGCAGCAAAGAATAAGAGCTTGCTGACAAAACAACAACCCAAGCTGTAATCTCATTTATTTGGACTTCTTTTTTTATGATTCATCCTTTAGAGCACAAGGGCAATTCACTTACCGTTCACAAGTCTCCATTTCAGTAAAGAATCTCTCTTCATGGAGAACCTTGCATTAGTTGACCACACAGAGGGACGTCCGTTTACTAGTTTGCAGTTCAGTCCTTTTATGCATTTAGAAGTGCTGTGTTCAGTGGGACTCGTGCCTAGGAAACTCTGTGTGGGATTGCACCTTTGATCATGTGAGACCTATGCAGTTACAGGCCAGATAAGGCCCACGCAGACCTTGGGGCTATTGATCAGTATGAGGGGGCACTGGAGTGCTTTCCTTTTTATAGAGAGCTTTCCGTTTCAAATCTCATTGAAGGAAGAAGAGATTCTCTTCCTCACCATGGGTTTGTTTCCCCATTTGTTTCACAGCCTAACCTCTGGGCTTGACAGTCCAGTCCGGAATAAATCAGCTCAGCAGGTTGTAAAATGCATAGGCCACTCAGTTGTGGTTTGTGATTCCATCAACACTTAATTTGGATTTATGATCTTCTTTGCTTTCTGCTATTAATTCCCCACTCCTCCATTCTCTCTATTTCTTGTTCAGCAACATGCCCCTGTGGTTGTCTGTGAGGACTGTCCAGCGTCAGGGAATGAGCTCTTCATGCTGCAAGCAGGGATAAATTGGAAGAGTTTCTTTCTGGCATTCTAGCTCCCCCATGCGCAAAGACCTCCATCCCACCGTACTACAAAAGTTGCAATTCCACGCATGTGGATTATGGTATGTGTAATTGGGAGATACCGGAGAATCTTGTATTTTCCTCCCAGCTCTAATTGGGTTTGTGTAGATACAGGTAGAAATAGGAAGGAATAGAATGCAAAAGGATTGCAATGTAAAGCAACAGAGTCTGACTTTATTCACACACCATACATTCAAAGCACATTTCCCTACCGCAAAGAATCCTGGGAACTGTAGCTTACTCCCTCACAGAGCTACAGTTCCCAGAATCCTTAAGCTACAGTTCCCAGGATTCTTTGGGGTAGAGTTTTTTACATGTGCCTTAAATTTATGGTGTTTGGGTTGCCTTTGGGTTGTTAAATTCCTCCTTTCCTTTGTGGATTGGGGTCATATTGCCCTAATCATATGCATCTGCTGCCCCCAACTTGCACATACTACTCTAACACTGCCATTAAGCTTCTCCTTGCCAACAACCCCCTTGGGAAAAAACAACACCCCATCAACTTTTGCAAAAACTCTGAGAACAATGCAATAGAATGAGGAAGCCTGTGAAAAATTGTAACATTTTTATTATGAATATTATGAATATGGAGTGAGTCTTAGTCCTCTTGTGGACTACTTGTCACTGTGAGCTATTCTTATTATTCTTTTAAGTTCATATTCTGCTTTGACAAAAGTCCTCAAGGTGGCTTACAATTTGAAAATCTAATCAACCATCCATGGATGCATTCAAATGTAAGTAAGCAAACAATAAACAATGAAATTCATTAATGCAATACTTTATTTTAAATACATTAAAATAAATATATATATATTTAATCGGTCGATGTCATAACCTGTTATAATCTATTTGCTCTTCCTTTCTAACTAACCAGACACTGCAGAACTCAGTGGGTTCTTTTAAGAAAAGGTTGTAGATTCTCAGTTGCAATACTTGTCACTGTTTGTCCCATGCACTAAGATAATTCTTCATCTGATACTTTGCTATATCTTGCTTCTAGCAGGAAATGTGATTATTAGTGGCTCTTTTGTCAGAGTTACAGATCTCTTTTGGATAGAGGTGCAATAGAAATACAACTCTGCTTCTCCAGACACATATTTAAAATATGATGTTGTATAACTTCGTCTCAGCTACTACTGTACTAAGCATTTTCATTGTGAATCTCTTTATCACTGATTCCAGGGATGTTTCTTATGGTAGGATTAACTTGTCTAATCCAGAGCTGGGGAGCCTTTTTCAGGCTGTGGGCTATCTGGGCAGCCTTCTGAAGGCCAGAGCAAAAGTGGACAAAACAAATGTGCAGACGTTACCTTTGTGCAGTAGGTTAGTGTCTACGTACACGCTCTGTCCTTCATCTAGGCAAATAAGAGGCATTAGCAGCGTTCAATGAGAATTCTAGCCAGGCAGAAACACCCAATAACTTCATGAGGGCCAGGTGTAGCCTGATACGGAGTCCTGGAGGGCCACATTTGGTTCCTAGCCTGAGGTTTCCCATCCTGGCCTAATCCCCTCAAGCACAATTTATTTTTATTTATTTCATAAAAATTTTATACCAGTTGATTGGGGGCAGGGAGGAAAACCCCTGCGCCTCTTTCTCAATATACTGTTGAGAGAGTGGATCTCATGGTGCTACTATAAAGAGTGCATACCTCTGTTCAGGATCAAGAATTTTGAAGCTTAAAATTTTAAACCACACCTCCTGCAACCCAGTCTCTACCAAGCACTTCTGCTCTTTGTTCCAGTTTTCTGGTGTGGAAGCCACGCTTGGTCTAGCAGGACCCAGGTTTTGCAAATCCTCTCCCCTGCCCACTTAGAGGCTTGCAGTGCCTACCCCTATATATAGTGTGCATGTCTGTCACTGTCGGTGAAACAGCCAATGGTCTTGGCCAGCAAAGTACTGGAGAGCTATGCAGATAGCTTTAACCACCTTTCCTCATGCCCAATCATAGAGATTTCCCTATTTTTAGTGTGGTTGCTTCTCCTTAGGCAGACAGGAGACTTGTGTATTGCTACTGTTACTACAGTGCCAGAAATAACTCCGCCTAAAGAGGACACTGGGTGGGCAGCTGGCATTGTGTATTCATGCCAGTCCATTTGCAAATATGTGAACGCCAACTGTGGCTGTTATCCATCTTTTGTCTCACGTATCATGAATGTCAGTTATATTTTTTAACAATTTGGGATTCTGTGGGCAGGTTAAATTCCAAGGTGATTTCCAGTATTATATTTTCGGGAGCAGTCACCAGTTCTGGTTGTTACGAACCATCGTTTGTGCCCTTCAAACCACAGCACTAAATGTGTGCATAATTTCCACCTGGAGTGGCGTTTTGGAATGTTGTTGGTGTGCTGCGTAATTGCAAGGCACAAAGTTAGCCTCTGCATATTCTGAGCTATTTGAGGTCATGAGCATACATATTCTAGGTGCTCTCCCCCTGCCCCCCTCCCCGCCCAAATGCAGGAAGAATGATTATGGTGTGAGTAAGCACAGAAGCTGAATGTAGGAGGAGTCATTTATTGAGGAGGTCTACATGACCGAAAGCATTTTAGAGACAGGGGTGCAAGTTCCAAGTAGACTTGCAAAATCTCAGTACCGATTGTTCTTTTCATTCTCTAAGAGTATGGAAGTAGAAGGAACTGCCCTTGTGGAACGTATCCCATTACAGCACTGCAAATTAATGGGAGGAACTGCAATCCTCTCCAGGCAGCACAAGGTAAAATGGCATGGGAACCCAGCCAGCCATGATGTCCCAAGATGAATGTGGGAAGGGAAATGATAGATCTTCAAGCAGAGTTGGGGGCAAGCCTAGGTATAGAAAAATGGGAGCATCCTGTTGAAAAGCTAAAGTCTACATCTCCTTTCCTTAGACAACTTTTCTTTAGACCCAGTGTGGTTCACAAGTGATTATTTAAAATAAGTGGTTTCTAGATGTCATGACTGTAGTCTAAGCATTCCATGTGCCCTGCAAATATGTCTAAGAAGCTAAGGTTGCTTGGTGCTCAAAGCAGAAATTATGCCTGTCTCTTTAAGGGAGGCTCTAAAAGAGAAAGCAGCTGCTGTGCCTCCCTCCCCCTGTTTTTTCCACTAGTTACTCACTTGGCCAACCTTCTTCCCTTGCCTTGGAGGGATGAAGGTGAAGGGAACTGGTAGGCTGCCTGCCTCCACCTACTGCTTCTAGTTGAGAAGCTGGCACCTGTAGATGTCAGTAGCAATCGTCCTGCTATTTTAAGCTTACAAAAAATACAGGAGTCAAAATTAGTCAAAATGTGTTGCTTTTAACTACTCTGCTGTTTATGGAGAATAAGGCTATCAATAGTTACCAGGCATAATGACTATATATCAGCTCCAATGTCAGAGGCAGTATGTCTCTGATTACCAGTTCTTGGGGAACATGAGCGGGAGAGGAGTATTACTCTCATGTCCTGCTTGCAAGCGTTAAAAAGGTAAAGGGACCCCTGACCATTAGGTCCAGTCGCGGACGACTCTGGGGTTACGTCGCTCATCTTGCTTTATTGGCCGAGGGAGCCGGCGTACAGCTTCTGGGTCATGTGGCCAGCATGACTAAGCCACTTCTGGCAAACCAGAGCAGCGCATGGAAACACCGTTTACCTTCCCGCCGGAGCAGTCCCACAGGCATTGGTTGACCACTATGACAACAGAATGCTGGACCAGATAGGCCTTTGCTCTGCTCCTGCAGGGCTCATCTTGTATTCTTAGCTTTAGCGCAATAGACTTGAACTGTAAAAGCAAATTCTGGCCCTCCCCCAATTGATGGAATACTTCAATTTTTGGTACTTGCAGTGGTGTGAATTTAGGCATGAGATATGTGCCCTGATCCTGTTAGTTTATAGGGAAGGTTTTCTGGATGGTGTTGTGCTGCTGCATGATTTCAATGCCTCAGTTTTCCAATAAGCGTTCACTTTGTATAGTATTGAACAGGGAAGAGCAAAAGGCAGCCTCCCAAGACATGTCTGGCTCTGTCATTTGGTGTGGATGAACAAAACACTTTCAGAATATGGGGGAAAAAATGCTCCAAAACTGATCTGTGGGGTGTGTGCTTCTGTGTGTACACACGCACACATGCACCCCCCCCCACCTAAGTAGCATAATATCAATAACAAATAGAGATTTGAGGTGTTTTTTTTAAGGCTACCTGCCTTTTGTGGCTGCATGCTATAAAGAGCCCATGAAGTGAAGTGAGGGGCTGTTGGCTGTAGGGCAGCAAAAACAGTCACATGCTGTGAGCAGTTTCATCTACATCCTTCTAATAGTAAGTTGGTAACAAAGAATGCCATTATTGGGAAGCTCCTCATCCTGTTGCTGCCAATGTTTGCCCAGTGCAAGCAAGAAGCTGCTGAGGAAGGATAGATTCCAGCCAGGAATAACAAAAGGAGCCAATTAATATGGTGAGGTTTGAGAAGGATTTTCTCTTGGGACAAAAGGATTCCTTAGAACTGAAGGTGCAGGAGTTGGGAGACCTCTGGTCCCTTGATTTCCCTCTTCCTTGTGTGATTTATGCCAGCCTACTATTTTGTCTGGCACAAGAGAGGATCATAGGGGAAGTAAAAAATCTAACCCGTCACAGAAAGGTCTTGTCTTACATTTCCTAAGGGTTGTTTCTGCCTTTGAGTTAACTTAGCACAGGCCCTGACATAGACAGCAACATTCCAAAACGTGGTGGTAATGGATAGGAGCAAAAGTACTTGTTAATGTGCAAAAGCTCTGTGTGCGCGTGCATATGTGGTGCTTTGCTTCACTTTGCAAGTATACATGGGAGAGCACATTTCTGTGACCTAAAAAAGTTGGCCAAGGGGTTTTCGTCTGTCAGTCATATTCATGATTCTGCAACTACTGCACTAAATTATGTGCCTATGGATGCATGTGTAAACCATCATATTACTATGCGTGTGTGTGTGCGTGCGCACACGCTTACGGGTGTCTTCGGATCTCTAATGTGTGGCTCCAGCAAAGCTGCACGTTTAATGACCTTTCCCTAAAAGCATTCTCCACCCTCTCCTCTTGCTGCATTTCTTGGAGAGGGGAAACTCAGAAATGGCCTGTACTGTAGAAGTCATGCATTCCACAAAAGAAACTTTGTCCATCTTCTCCCCCCTCTACCCACAACATACAAAAACTGTTTGACTAGAAGATACATTTTACCGCTTGTAATATCTTCCCTCTGATTGTTCACACCCTCGGCTAGGGCCAGACCTGTACCCTTCTATGCATGTTTGTTGGGAATGTGACAACTGGAAAGGAGTTATTAGTTTCTTTGTACAATGAACACCCCACCTCCCTTTAGAGCCGTAAAAGGTGGGTCTGCAAACTAGCTGGAAAAACTCCCCGAGAGCTTCGTTGTCGTTGCAGTTTTGTAATGGAAATAAATGGTAGCCTGGGGGCAGACATCTCTGCGTCTCGCTGGTACGAAGGCCCAGACGGCCCGCGAGTGCAGGCGGGTCTGCACTTGCTTGTACCGGGGCGTGAAGGGAGGCGGTGAAGCTGGTTTCCCTCTCCGCCCCAGGTATGGTTTTTCTCGGGCGCTGTTCGTTTCTTCGCGGATGCTGGAGGAGAATCTCTCTCTCTCTCTCTTCCTCCCGGTGCGGGCCTGGGGGCCACCAGCAAGGGAGCAGCTGCAGGTACAGGCAGCCTCCGCATAGTTGGCATTCCTGCAGGCTCGTCGCCCGGGCTCCTTCCAGGTCCTCGGCACCGCGCGCGTTGCCTCCGAGTCTCCCGGCCGGAGGCTCCTAGATAAGAAGAACGCGCTTCCTTCTTTAGCCGCTCCTGTTTCTTCGAGACCTTTTCGGGTGGATGGGGCTTTGATGAATCCCCTGGGCGCTTTTATTTTCAAGCAGGACAGAAAAAAGGTGACCGGAGCTGATTATTTTTGGAGAAGTCTCTCCAACCTCGCCTGCGAGCAAACAGGCACACTCGATGCATCTCTCTCTTTGCACGGCCATAGATCTTGGTGTATCTTAAGAACAGAAGAGCCCGGTGACCCAGCCTAGTCCAGCATCTGGTTCTCATAGTGGCTAACTAGATGCTTGTGGGAAACCGCGATTCAAGAGTTCCGTCTTTCTTTATTAAAAAAGATAAAGCTCACTCCAAGCTATCTTTCCTCAAAAGTTGCCTGGCGTGCTCTGGTCCATGGGGTCACGAAGAGTAGGACACGACAAAACAAGGGTCTGGGTTACAAAACAACAACAAAGGCTTGATCCCAGTGAGATTTTTTCCTAGTAAATACAGGGAAGTAAGCCCCATTGAATGCAGCGGGACTTATTTCTGTGTAAACATGCACGAGTGCGTGTTATAAAAACAGTAAGAGGAAACAAGATGGGCATGAGCAGGTGCCATTCAAGCAGTGCAGCGAGCATGTCATTCTAGGGCAGGGACCCGCCGTGTTAATTCTTTATAGGACGAACTAACCCGAGAGTTGGGTTTTCAGGTCAGGCTCGGCTGACTGTCGGATTCAGGTCCCGGGGGCTTCCCACCCCTCCCCCCGCAAGCAGCAGGATTCCCACATCCGGGTTCGACCCTGCTGCTGCTGCCAGGCGTCCTGAGTTGGGGTCAGCCCCGGCGCCTGCGGAGTTAATTGCCGCCACTTTCGCTCGCCTCCTCCTCCTCCTCCTCCCAGCCGAGGCTCTTTTCTCGGAGCTCCCGGGACGCCGCGCCGCTTCTCACGTGGGCAGCGGTGACCCTCTGTGTTTACTTTATTTTTGGCACTTCTAGCAGTGGCGGCGCTTTTCTCGAGCCCTCCGGTGGCGATGCGAGTTTTTTCTTGCCTCAACTTACCGGAGGGGAGGAAGGGGCAGCTCGGCTGAGTCAAGGTAGGGGGGGGCGAGGGGAGGCGGAGCAGGCGGCTTCCCCTTTGCCCTGGGCGACTTTGCGATGGCTGATCAGAAAGTTAATGTAACCTTTTTTCTTTTGTGGGCTTTCCTTTTGTTCTTCGCCTTCCGGGGAGGGGAGGGGAGGCCCCGGCTCCGGGAATTAACAAAAGAGGGGAGAGGAAAGTGACTGATCCCAAAGGGAGGCGTGTGCAAGCAAGGAAAAGAGGGCAGAGGAAGCGTAGAAAAGGGCGCTGCTGTCTGTGGGCTGCGCGTAAAGCTCAGGGCCGGGGGGAGGCGGCGGACGGAGGACAAGAGCCAGGTAAGGACACCTGGGCTTGCTGGGAGCGCCTGCAGCAGGTGGGAAGGAAAGTGGAGGAGGGGAGAGGACCGTCGGGGCAGATGCAGAGACTCGGAGGTCCCTGTGAAGCAACACCGGTGGCGCCTCCCACCAGCTTCCCCGTCGGCGAGAGATCGCGCTGCGTCCTTGCTTGTTACCTGGCGCGTAATCAGGGTTGCGGAAGGCATTGCCCCGGGGCGCAGAGCGCACGGCACCGCGGTGGGGTTGTTTGGGGTGGGGGCGGCGTGCTTGCGCAGTTACGGAGGTGTGCAGAATTCTACCCACAGCCACACACTCGCCCTCCCCCCGCTCCGCATCCCAGCATCCAGTGAAAGCGCGCTCTTTATTGAGCTGGTTTCCAGGACCCTTGAAACTCCCTTAATCTCTCTAGCATGAAGCCGCCCCAGCAGCGGCATTCGTTCCCCCGATAGCTCACTTGTTCCTCTTTCCCAGCAGCTCAGTTTACTGGCCCGTGAAGGGCACGTCGCGCCCGCGCGGTTCTGGCGACCCGCTCACTCACAAGCCGTGGCGGAAGGTGGGCGGCGCAGGTTAGGTCTTCGCTCTTTTCCTAAACCCCTTTTGTGAATGAGTGTGTGTGCGTGTGTGGCGGGTTTCGAACAGGACTGAACAAAAAAGGGACCCACCAGCAGGGCTGTACACCTCCTGGGAACCTCTTAATGTTTGGTTACCTCAAAGAGACCAGCTGTCTGGCGCCTCCTTTCCCTCCCTCTCTCATTCAAGCTGATCGGAAGAACTTTGTAACTTCGCTGCTGCCAGACGTTGCTTGCCTCTTCCCAACCTCAACCCCCCCCCCCCATTGTGTCACATCTTTTAGATTAGAACGGGCAGGGGTTGCCTTGTTATTGGTAACATCTAAGGCGCTGTTTCAACTCAATAGTTAGGTAACGTGCTTTTAATAAATAAAACTTGATATTGGGACGTGTGTGCATAACAGCGAAGGGTCGTTCATGGAAGACTGGCCATTGGTGCCTCTGTTCAGGGGTGCCCATATTAATCGGCGCTGCCTCTGCGCTGTATCAACCTGAGCTGGTGGTTCAAATGATTGAATGGACAGGGAAGGGGTTACATGCAAAGTGTGTGATCTGCTACTGATCTACTATAGCCTTTCCTAAGAATTAGGAATATCCTCCAGTCGTCTTCATAATTAGCCAGTTTTGTATGATCCTGTAGCTGTTTGGTGTAAGGCAGCGTCTCCTAGAACAGAGGTCAGTCCTCAAACTTTCCAACTCTAAAGCCCACTTGAGACGGCTGAAAATTACTGAGGCCCACCAGCTACAAAATGGTGGTGCAGGGAGGGTGGGCAGAAGCAGTCATGGTGCCAGGTGGAGGCAGAGTTTGGCTTAATCCGCTGGCAATTACTGGCATCGTTTTCTACTGAGATCTAAGCCATATTTGGAAGTTCTTTGCTTGAGCTTTTACCTTGTGGCAGAGGTGTCCCATCACTTCACTTTTCTCAAGCTAAGTACAAACATTGGTTCTGGAAGTATTGTAATGTCCTCCCCATTTGCTGATGAAAGCTTTTACTTTTGTTTTCCTTTCCTCTACATGCCTCTCCAGTGAATATATATATTACCTATCTTCTGTAATTTCTTCTCTTATTTTCCTTGTACCTTATATCCTTTCCCCAAACTATTGCTTTCTTTCATCCCCCTTCCTCTAGGCCGAGATCTGCATAGACATGGTGAAGGGTGCACAACCCGTGAGTCTTCTCCTGACACAGATATTTCTATTGCATCTAGCTGGCACAGTGGTTTTATTGGAAAGATCAAGAAAGCAGGGTTTCAGCAGTTGGTGTGCCCTCCAGCAATGATGATGTCAGCAGGAGAAGGGATTATGAAACTGGGTGTCATGCTGGCACTTGCTGCTTTCTAGAGCTTCTACCCCAGCTCAGTGCACCTGACCTATATCCAGGCAGCCTCACTTAAAAGGCTCCTCAAAGTTGCTTGTCTTGTTTCTAGGATGTGTGAGGATTTGGGGCCTCTGCAGCTGGGCACTGCAGGGGTCCACCATAGGAAGGGGTTGCAGTTGTGTCACAGTGAATCAATCCCCTGCTGTGTGATGGGCTTCATTATTTGTTTGAACAGCAGCGCTGCATGTCCCTTTCATTGAGCAATCCTTACAAAGGGTATGGAGAGCAGTTCCTTTGCCTACAGACCTTACACACCTTCTCTTCCCTCCTCCAACTCTAAAGACTCATCAAAAGTTCTGTGCATCAGTAGGCACAAGGGCTCTGAATGGATGACTGGCTAGTAATCCAGGCTTTTTTTTTTTAGTCCTATGACTAAAGAAAGGTTCCTGCACAACCTCCAGCTGTTGTTAATGCAAATCTCAGGCATGCCCAGGAGCCATATGAATAATTAATATTAGCACACAAGTGGCTTTATGGCCTTTTTGCAAGTCCTTTTCCTAAATGTTTACGTGACCGTTTGCCTTCCTTTTGTGGACATGTGTTATAAATAAAAAGAACATGAATCTGCACTGTGTTCAGCAAAGTGAGTGGATGCATGCACCAGTAATGTTCATCTGATGTGCACATTAATAGGTTTCTTGAGCAAGGCAGCCCTTTTGCAAGAGATTCCAGTGTATGGGGGTGGAAAGGCAATATGTGAATGCTTTTCGCTGTTCTTATCTAGGATGTTAGGTTGTGGGGCAATGATCAAGCTATGGGGCATTGCCTTTCTCTTGGAACAAAGTTACGGGATTAGAACCTGACAGAGGGGCCTCGCCAACATGTCCATACACATCCTGGGAATCCGGCATTTTGGATACCTAAACACTAACAATATGCTTCTCTCGGCAGTGAGAGATTAAGCTTTGTAGCGTGAAGTAGAGATGTGGGAAGCTCTTCTCATTTGCCTTGGAATCCACAGCTTACTGGGCAAACTAATGAGGCTACAAAAGTTCAACCTGATCCCTTGGAGTTTGCAGCCTGAATAAAATTGGGAGTTATTCACACACGTTGCATTCCTTCAGCTTGTAGCATAACTCCCCTTGCTTTAGCATAGTTATCGCTGATAGTATGTGGATGTGTTTACACAGTCAAATACCACTGGAAAGCTCACTTGCAGGCAGAATCTCAACTGTTATTTTATAAAAGGCAAAACCCTTTTTTCCAAGAGAGACACCCTTCCCCACCAAGAGTCACCCGCTTTATAATTAACTGCTCTTACTTTTCTAAAAACCTCTTTTAGAACTTTGGAACTGAAGTCAGCCCCGTCCCAAGAGTTGGGGACAGGTAACAGTCTTGTACAATAAAGCTTAGGAGCTGGGTTCCTGTCTCCAAAGTCCTTGCCATGGAAGTCACATAGTCCCCAGGATATGGCCCCAAGGCACCGTATGAGACCACCACTTGGCTGAAGCTAAAGAGGTCTGGCTCTGGGCAGTGCCTGGACGGAAGAAAGGTGGGATATAAACGTAATAAAATTAAAAAGAGCAACAAAACAGGGAGAATGCAGGGCAAGATGGGAGTGACTGGGTTTTAAACTCAACCTTAGAATGGTGGTTTGTAAGCTTCCTATATTCAGGGCTTTCACATCACTACAGATGTACGTTACAGCACAAGATTGTCTGTGATGGGAAATCCTGTCTTTCTTTCCTGATCTTTTTGCCGAGGAGCCCTTTTCAAGGAAGCACAGGCTTTTCCAGATCACAGTATGAATGCGGCTGCCTTTGATATGGCCACCTTGTTCCTAGAGGCTGCTGCTAATGAGGGCTATGCGGCTTGGGTGGTGTGGCTTATAACTCTACCCAGGGGGGGGGGGGACTGAAGTGCTAGGAAATCATAACCTGGTCCACAAACCCAGTTGCACATCTTGTATAATAGGAAATAAACCCTACAGTTCTGTTCAAATAGGGGCCCTCAAAGAATATGCACCACAATAGCATGTTAGGCTGTGGGAATCGTTGTTTGTGAATATGGTAGACTCCACCCATGCACTCTCTCTTCTTCTCTCCACATATCACCCCAAGGCTTATGTTCTTTACAACAAAATCTGGGCTCCCCCACCCACCCTTTGAAGCAATGCTGGGTAACAGATCTGTGGTGCTTGGAGTTGGTTCTGTAAAAGTTTTAAGGAGGCAAACACACAGCAATGTCTTCTCCTCCCCTTAATGCACTGATTATAGCAGTTGCTTTCCCTGTTCCTTTGCAAAATAAATGAATAAATAACTAGTTTGTGCCTTCTTGCCTGTGTTGTCTCACTCTCTTCCATAACAGGCAAATGGCAAAGGCTGTCTGGTCTTCTTGCATTTTACATATATGCAAGTAAGACATGGAACCCATGAGAGACTGTCTGGGCTAGGGTTTTTTGTTTGTTTGTTTTAGACACACGGTGTTAATGGGAAGGTACAGATGTTGATGCCTTTGCACTCCGGTGAGCAGGGAAATGAGGAAGATCAGGGAACAGTCATGAATGCGTTTTCCACTTGGTTTAGCCAGTGACCCTTCAACCTAAATGGAGCCTCTGTCTGGTTGGTAATTGCCTCATGGGTCTCTGAGGAATGCAGCAGGCGCATTGGAGACTGGAGGGCTTAAGGATTAGCTTTGTGAACAGCAGGATGCTAAGCTGGAAAAAAATCACACGAGAAACTCTTGCTTCCCTTTAATGCTTGCCAGTCACTGGAGAAAGAGACTAGATTCAGCCACTTATGGGCATGGGGAAAGATGCCTCCAAGTCTAGATAATGGAATTTCTATGTTACCGTTCTTTTTGGAGATTTCTGACAGCTCTGTACATGTACCCATTTTCTGATGACTGGAAACTACTAATTCCACAGCATTTCCCCATTTAAATCCAGGGGCTTTCCTCACGGTTGGGTTGTTCACCAAATTAAAAGAATTATTAGTTGATTGATCAGCTGTCAGTTGACCCAAGGTATGGTCTGAAGGCATATGAGCCCACAACCTTGCTGAAGCTAAACAAGCCTGATTCTGCTCAGTGCCTGGATGGGTCCCTCCTGCCAGACTGCATGTATGCTGCCTTGGGTTCCATAATAGAAGAAGAGTGAGGTATAAATGTAAGAAATTAAATATAAATTAAATAAATAGGTGTATTACCCAAAGCCAAATCTAGGTTTATTAATGAGGTAGTGAAGTGTAAGGTGTGTGTGTGTGTGTGTGTGTGTGTGTGTAAAGCTAGTTACACATTAGCCAAATGAATGGCACACCAACATTGCCCCAAAGTGCTATTCCCTTAACTCACAGTCCCACTTGGTTTAAAATATTCATAGATTTAAAATTGGTCTCCGTTGGCCAGCTAAATTTTTCCGATGCTCTGTCAATTAAAAGGTGCAGCCCAAGTCTGCAGCATCTGTTCATCGTCTGATGGTTTTTACTGATGGGCCCACTTAATGTGAGATCTGCAAGAGAGCTTTGCTAGGGACTATATCAGATCAGGGCTTCCCTAAGACATGTTGGTGCCTGGGGGCCAAAGGCCCAAATTCCATGGGTAAAGATGGGGAACCAGCAGCCAGGATGTTTTCTTTCACGCTCTCCATTGATATGGTGCTCATTTCAGTGAGGCTTATGCAGGAGAGAATTAATTGTGCCTCTTGGGTTAAAATTGTCTGTCTCCCATTCCTTAATGCAAGGGTAGCTAACCCTGTTCCTTCAGTTGTTGCTGGACTATAGCTCCCCATCATCTCTTACTAGTGGCCATTCGAGCTGGGACTGATGGGAATTGAACATCATCTGGAGGGCCACAGGTTACCTGTTTTTCCTCTTCCATTAAAATATTATTTATTTAGATATTTACATCCTGCTGCTTTTCAGTATGGCTTACATGGTCAAGGAGTTTAAAAAACCCCCAGCTAAAATTCATAAAATAACAGCATATACATATTGGCAACAAAAATAAGCGAAGTCAGTATAAAATCACATGGCAGAGATGAAACTTAGCTTTGAAGCTAAAAGGCCCTGCTTGCTTTGTGTGTCCCCCCTCCTTCAATCATTTCCTCTTGCCTTTCCCCATCTTGTCTGACATTCCCTTTATTCTGTTGGATTTTAATACCTGTTGTGTTTGTTTTAGAAAACTTGAATGTGGTAGTTATTGGAAATAAGCTTAAATGTGGCTTCCATATAGCTGACTCTGCAGACTGCCAAATAGAACAGCCGAGGTATACACACAGCTTGCCTCACATCACTGAAGGGCGCTGCTGATTCTGGAACATTTGCAATTGCATTGCCAGCATCAAAGGCTGTGTGTGTGTGTGCGCACGCGCATTGTCTGAAGCACCAAGGTGGCAGGAAGTGGCAGGAGCGCTCTCAAACTGGGAACAGCACAGTGCGCTCTGACTCAACACTGATATCGCTCCTGCCACCAGAACACCAAGTTCTGTGTCAGCCGTGAGGTTCAGATGTCAGCAGCTCAGTTATGCATCAGCACCCATTTGAAGTACAACCAACCTGGGGCACAGTGAAGACTGCAGGACTGCACACTACGGCGCACCTGAAGCATAAGCAACCTGGAGATTTTGCTTGTTGGTTTGTGGCGGTCCAGCCATTTATGCACTGCCACTGTTGCCTTTCTCTCTGCTACTAATTCAGGCAGGAAGGCACAGAGTAGCTTCTTTGCACTCTTGATTTTGAGTTCCTTTCTCTTGGTTTGCATCACAGTTCCGATAGCATCTCCACATTGCCGTTCTTCTGTGCTCTCATTTTGATGCTGCAGAGTAAAACTTTGGGACCATGGAAGGTATCCAGGGGAAAGAGAAGTGCCTATTCTCTGGTACACTGTTAAGCTCATTGTTCAGAGTCACCCATGTAGGTTGCACAGCTTTGTGCCTGCCCAGTCAGTCCTGTTGCCAAGCAAATGACCACCACAAGCTGGAGTGTCTATCTTGCCTGTTTTGTACTGCAGAGAGCTTGTGAATGGAAAATATGCATCTGACCCCTGACCCCCAGGAGGTGCCCAAAGTCTGATGACATGAGAGAAGCCCGTTGCACAGAATCATAGGATTGTAGAGTTGGAAGCGACCCTGAGGATCAGATAGCTATCTGACCTCTGCTTAGATACCTCAGAGGAAGGAGAGTCTACCACCTTCTGAGGAAGTCCGTTCCATTGTCGAACAGCTCTTCCCATCAGAAAGTTCTTCCTTATGTTTAGTCGGAATCTCCTTTCTTGCATAAGAGTAGTCATTTCTCAGTTTTCTGTCTTTGCTTTGAACATCAATTTATATCTTCTTATCTGGAAAGTCCCAGCTCCTAATCTTCCTGCCCTGCTCTCTGTTTGTAACTCTGAGGAAGTTGTTCTATGCGTTTTTGCAGAAATTTTATTTTATTTTAATTCACTGCAGAGCCGGGCCCTAACTTTGAAAACAGGGTTTGAGCCAGGCACACACTGACAAATCTGTCTTTCATCAGACCAGGGTTTAGTAGCGCAAGATTGCTCTGGTCAAGCTGTTAAACAGAAATGTAGGTATTAATTTTATCGCTTCTGTAGCCCTTTTCAGCATAATAAAGTGCTTTGGAATTCTTGTCCCCAGAAAAATTCCGTGAATTGAGGTAGTTTGAGAGATAATGTTTTACGAGAGGCCACTCAGTGAGCTTCATGGCTGAGCAAGGACATCTACCTTATCTCCAAACCAAACACTGTTTCCAATGACCTGTACTGGCTGCTGTTCATACTCTGGGCTGCAAGTTTCTCTTGGGAAGAAAGTACAGTGGTACCTCGGGTTAAGTACTTAATTCATTCCGGAGGTCCGTTCTTAACCTGAAACTGTTCTTAACCTGAAGCACCACTTTAGCTAATGGGGCCTCCTGCTGCCGCCGCGCCGCTGGAGCATGATTTCTTAACCTGAAGCACCATTTCTCAGTTAGCGGAGTGAGTAACCTGAAGCATATGTAACCCAAGGTACCACTGTATTAGTGAATTGCCTCTGCTGAACAAAGGAGTGCTGGGTTAAGTGGCAAGGGCTGTGAGTCTGGAGAACCTCTTGATATCAGGGGCTTTTTTTGAAGATGTGCATGGCACATCTCCTCTATGGGGGTTAAGTCTTCTCTGTGTGCATCATTTTCAGCAATATATGTTAAAACAAGGGACCTTCATGTTACGCTTTGCCGTGCGTCTCTAGAACTGGGTTCAGCTTGGATGACTCAGGTGCTGATTAGGGTGAAAGAAGCACACAGCTGAGAGTTCAAGGAGTTTTGTTTGGCAAGATCCTACTGGGAAATTATCTACTGCTAAGCCAAGGGAGTTGAAAGAGTAGGATCCTTTTTGCTTTTCCAGATCCTGGCTGGTGGGACTCAGAGAGGACTCCTTGACTTCCTCAGATGTGATCGTCAGCTTGCTGTCAGTGCCCACGAATGCTATTAGAAGTCCTGGTGACACCTTTTGCAGTTCCAGCATGTTTCAAGACACCCTTGGCCATTTTGGAGAATGAATGAGGCCCCCACTACTGGGGAGGCTTCATGGGAGAGGAGGATGTGGCTGTTGACCTCAAATCAGGAGACTTTGCTGGTGCAAAATGCATAGGCTGTGGACTCACATCAGAACAAAGCCCATTTTACCCAAAGTTGGGGGCAAATGTTTCAGCTGCTTGCTGCTGCTGTTGCTGGTTCTGGAAAGCCAAGTCTAGCAAAGTCCCCCGTTTCCATTTTGAGGATCAATTCCGCCGGTTAACATTTTTGGTTCACTCTTTTGTTCTTCTCTTGCAGGGTGTAGGATGCTGGCTCCGGTGCGGCTAGGCCTGCCCACATGACCTTTGCCACCATCATGCTGTGCCCCTGGCGTGGGAAGCTGAAGCTGCTGCTTGCCACAGTGACCCTGGTCTTCCTGATCTCATGGCTCTACCTCTTTATGGGTAATCTGGAGTGTGAGTGAGGGCAAGGATGGCCCATGGACAACGGAAGGGTAGTGGTGTGATGAAAGCATGTGCCACAGATTTGCCCTGTGGCAGCTGTACACGTGGGTGGGAGCTGGGACTCCAGAGTGGAATTGCAACTATACTGCCAACTCACTTTGAGACCTTTGGGCAGAGGGTGACCTCTGTTTCCTCCTGCGTAACAGGACTAGGAAAGCTTTCCTAGAATTGTAGAGTTGGAAGGAACCCCAAGGGTCATGTGGTCCAACTCCCTGAAATGCAGGAATTACAGCTAAAGAATCCCCGACAGATGGCCATCCAACCTCTGTTTAAAAACCTTCCATGAAAGAGAGTCCACCACCGTCAGACATTAAGGTGACAGAAGGATGGTTCCACTGCCTTGCTTGGATGTATGTGATTTTCTCATAGCCCAAACACATAGGAACTGATCCCTCTCATATATGATGAAGAATGGGCCAGATTTCCAATTTGGGAAATTTAAAAACAATCACCAAATAGCATATTTAGTTCCCAGCTTCTCAGCATTCAAGGCAGCTTGTAAACCTTTGGATCTTCTACACTAGAACTTACAAACAGACCCTTTTCCCTTGCACTTGGCGGCCCCTCTCCGCAGAGGGCCAGTATTCTGAGCAAGCCCTCCTTGGATCAATCCAGGCTTGGAGCTGGTAATAATGTTCACCTTGGGAGTGCTGGGGCTCCATCCGTTGTGTGGTTCTTCTCCCTGGCAGTTGCCTCTATGGCCGTTAGAGAGTCTTCGCTGGAGAGGGCTTGAGGGTGTTGCCTCCTTCCCCCTCCCTTGCTGATGTCAGTGGCAGATCTCTCCAGAAAATACATTACAGAGAGAATGAGCGCTGGGTTTTCAGAATATTGTTTTCTTAGGTTGCATTGATACAGTACTACTCTCTGGCCACAAAGTTATGAATGGAGAAGCTAGAGGCAGAGCTATGCCCCTTCCTGTTATGCCACTCTCTTCTTTCTTGCCCATCTCATTCATGGTGTGGGGTGATACTGTACATTAACTCTTGAGTGTTCAGATTCACATTCACCCACTTGAGGAGCAGCATTCAGCTTCATATTGAATTGTCTTAAATTAATATTAAGTCCATTTGACTGCAGAGAAAGATAGCCGGTGGAATTAATATAATTGAATCTAAAAAAGGAAATTGTAGGACTATGCAAAGAGATAGGGGGAATATTTTATAGTGCTGGAACTTTGCAACCTTGCTATATGAATTCAAGAAACCTGCATAAAATATTTGTTCCCGCTCTCATCCTTCTTCCCACTTGTCCTTCTAGTTTCACTGAAGTATGTGCAAAACGCTCAGTGACTATGCATCCTCCTCCTTCTCTCACCACTCCCCTATTTATGTTTTCTTTTCCTGGGGGGCGGGGATCCCCTCTATAGATGGATGCTCCTTCCTGCTCCCGCCTTGCTTTGGGGAACAGTCAAGCCGATACCTTAACCACGAGGCCTTGGTGTCCCAAGTACAGAAAGTGGAAGAGGAAAACCAGCTGTTGAGGCTGCAACTCAGCCAGTCTCAGATGCAGGACGAGGCTGTGGATGGGACGGACAGCAGCCAGCAGGGAGCGCCGTTCATAGAGGACCAGGATGGAAGGGACAACAGCACCGGCTGCCTCAAGCAGAGAATGGTTCAGAAGTGCGAGGTAAAGGCGATGTCCTAACTGGCTGCCAAGGCACCTTGCGGGCAAATAGTTATGGCAAAACTGTAGAAGGGTCGCACAGGAAGAGCCGAGTTGTTGTTCAGGCTCCTGAACCTGTTACGTTCCCTAAGATGGGGGTAGCCAACACGGTGCCCTCCAGAGGTTTTGGACTACATATCCCATCATCCCCAGCCAGCTTAGAATGGTTGGGAGTGGTGGGAGGTGTAATTCCCAACCTCTGGAGGCTGTAACATTGGCTGCCCTTACCCTAAGAGAATAGGTGTAGCCATATAATTCCCACTCTTGCCGCTTCCTGCTGTAGGTACCGTGATATTTATTTTGCAATGTAATGCTTTTCTGAACCCTAAGATATGTGTTGGTATGATAATCCCCTGAGGGCAAGGAGGCAGTCCTTGCTTGCGCCTGGTTTCTATGTCCATTTCTAACTCTGGTTGGTTTTGCATCAACGTTTTGTATTATCCATTTTGCTCTGGGAAAAGTGAACTCTCTGCTCACCCTTTTTTACTGACTTGGATGAAGAAGAAAGGGCCCTGGCAGGACAGGTGGATTCTGCATGTATTGTGGGGAGCGGCTTCTGAAAGCTCCACTTGGAGGGGAAGCGGGGAGAGGATCTCTTGCAGTGAATTGTGGATGGGGGGGCCAGGCCTGATGGCATCTTTGTGTTTCTGGACAGCTTCTCCACGTTGCAATTGTCTGTGCTGGATACAATGCAAGTCGGGATGTCGTCACCCTGGTGAAATCCATCCTCTTCCACAGGTAACCTTGGAGGGGGTGGGGAAGGCTGCTCTTCTTTTGAGCAGGTAGCGGAGGCTTCTGAGTTTCCCAGGACTTGAAGACGGGGTTAAAATAGGATGCCTTTCTGCACTTTTGATTCCAAGCTGCAGTTCTGGGTGTGCTGGGGAAAGATAGAACAAGTGAAGACTAGTTAGGGTCCTCTGACCCCATCCTTTTTCACTTAAATGCAGCTGCCAGGGTTCTGTATGTGGCATAGTAAGGCATCAGCTGCTGCATGGGGGGTGCAAAATGAGGGAATTGGATGTATTTCACATCTTGCTTTCAACTATTGCAAGCATTAACTGTTTCCTTCCTTGGCAGGAAGAACCCTCTTCACTTCCATCTCATCACTGACTCTGTGGCCCAAAAGATCCTGCAGATGTTGTTCGAGTCCTGGATGGTGCCCTCTGTTCATGTTAGCTTCTACAATGCTGATGACCTGAAGGCAAGGGAGATCAAGCCAGGCTCGTTCTCTCTTTCTCCATTTGTTCCCTTTCCCTCTCTTCCCTTCCCTCTCCACATCCTCTTTCCATGAAGTGAGCAGCCCTTTAGGGAAGGCTCTGCCGTAGAAATGGCTTGCTTGGAGATGAGAGACGCAAACCCTTTCCATTGTTTTCTGTGCTCTCATCTGCTACTATTGTCATTTCATTTGTAGAGTGGGAAGCACCTGTAGACAGGATCTGAATGATTTAGAAATATATAAAGTTAAGCTTCTCATTTCAGCAGGAATCTCTAAGTGGTTTACATATCTGGGGAGGTGGGAGAAGTGTGTTTGTGTGTGTGCATTTGTGTGTGTTCACGTAAACATAAAATACAAATTCCACATTAAAAACTAAACAATACTACTACTACCAAAAGAATAATACTATTTTAAATAACATAATTAAGAAACAATAAATACAATATACATAAATAAACACATTTTCCCTTGGAATTGAGCCCCCTGATGGATAGTGGCTGGTTCCAAGCTTGTGAATGGATCTAAAAGGTCATGAATCATCCTTAAGGTCACCTAGAACTTTGCAACAGAACAGCAGCCAAAATCTGCACTTGAAATGGTTATATGATGCACTTTCATGATTCTGATGTCCAAGAATGCTAATATTTCAGCAAAGTGACAGAAGGGCAGAAGGATTAAGGCAGGGAGCCCTGAAGCAGCACCTGGAGTTTTCCAAGGCCACATAAGTGTTCCTAATGAACAGTGGGCACTGTGCCAGGCAGTCTCCTCTTGCTCTTGCCAAAACTTTATGTGGAAGTTGTTGTCCATAATAAAATAGGAAGGGATAGAAACATAATTCATTTGTTTTTGAAATTTGAAAGTAGCCAGATTCCAGGAGTATGCATTTGTACTCTTTGAGTCAATTGTTTTGAGATTAAAGCTCTTAGATTTTAGACAATAGAGTTGCCTTATTTATTCTGCTGTGAATCAGAAAGTCACTCTCCATTGTTTCTGGCTGAATTGGATGAAGAAAGGTGAAATTAGATCTGGGGTGGGAGAACATGCATTTTCCTGCCATGTCTAAAACAATTGGCACTGCCCAGGTATATGTTTGGCATCCAAAACTATCTAGACAGGTAAGGTTCACCCAACCAAGCTTAGTGCAATGATTCACACTCCATTTCCCCCCCTACATTTCTGACCCTTGAGAAAACAGGAAAGTGGATTGTGGTTGAACAGACCATGTGCTTTCACTGAAGATGGGGTAGGAATTTTTAGTGGGCGGGGGGGTGGGGGGAAAGGAAAATTGCAGGGGGCCATGAAATCTAGAGCAGAATTGGGAGTCCATAGATGCTTTTGAAGTCTTGCCACACTATATTATTATTTAAATTTCTATTCCACCCTTCATCCAAAGATCCACAGGGTGGTTTACAATATAAAAACACAAAAATATCAGTAGAATAGCCCATTAGAAAATGTTAATAATGACCAGGTTGATGAAGTTCGCTAGTCCCCAAATCCCTTCTTGCAGACTTGCAGGCCTGTTTCACAGCTATGGCAAGGGACATGGAGGCTGCTTGGAATTGCATTTCCATGGAGGTTTCCATTTGTGTGCAAGCTTTGTGCAATTTGTCTCCACTGCCCTCCAAAACAGGAGTGCCATGTGGAAGCACCATCTTTGCAGTTGAAAGCATTCCCACACCACTTTATTTGTGTGAAGCGCTTCTAAATCTCACCAAAGACATACAGACTAGTTTAGAGTCATGGTCTCATTTTCAGTATTGTCTCGTTGCTCAAACCTTAGAAACAAGAGCAATTTTAGGCTTCTTGGCTATAGACCAGACATGTGATGCTGATGCTGGCCTGCCTGTTCTCCTTTTCTGAAATGTTTCTCCCCCCCCCCCTTTTTTTTTTTTTGCAGCCGGACATCTCTTGGATCCCCAACAAGCACTACTCTGGAATCTATGGGCTGATGAAACTGACGCTCACAAAGGCTCTCCCCTCTGATCTCTCCAAGGTCATTGTCCTGGACACGGACATCACCTTTGCCACTGACATTGCTGAACTGTGGGCCATCTTTGGGAAGTTCTCGGGTAAGTGATGACCACTGGGGGAATAGGGATCCTTTAGACTAGGGACACAGAATCTGTGACCCTCCAAGATGCTTTGAGGACTCCAGCTCTCTCATCATCAGCCCCAGCCAGCATGACTAGATGCTCAAGGATAATGAGCGTTATAGTCCAGCAACATTTGGAGGGCCACAAGTTCCCTGCCCCAGCCTTTGACCATCTTTGAGCACCTCTCCAGAGGCAGTGGCTCATGGTACAGGACAGCTCTGGTGGCCCTAGATACCGAAAGGGTTTCTTTTCTTACTCGGTGGTCTTTCCATTTACTCTGCTCCTTTGAAAATTATACAGCAGGGATGATCCTTAGTGAGTGAGTTCCAGGGTACTGATCTTGTTGACAAGCAAAGTCTGTTAGCTGCCTTTGGCCTCATTTTCTTATCTCTTAATCCAGACAAACAGGTGATTGGGCTGGTGGAAAACCAAAGTGACTGGTACCTAGGGAATCTCTGGAAGAACCATAAACCATGGCCAGCACTGGGACGTGGCTTCAACACAGGTGAGCTCCAGAGGGATGTGGGAACATGGCAGCATGATGTCCGTGCAGTCCTCTGTTCCCGTGGCTTGAGTGCTGGGTTTGTATGTGACATTATCCAGGTTCAGATATCCTGGTTCAACTGTGAAGTTGACTAGGTGGTCTTGAGCAAATCCCAGCGAGCACAAGGAAAACTAGTCCTATGAGGAAAGAAGAGGTAGCTTCCTTTCCATACCCATGGCAGATTCAGATTTTTGAGCGAATGCTGTGGGTGCCACCCCCTCTGATCATTTCTTACTCTCCTCCCCAGATCAGCACCCCTGCCTCCTGAGAGGCATAGTGCACACACACTCTGGCTTCCCATGGAATCTGGATAAAAGCTGGATCCTATAAAGTTAATCCAACGCTTCAAAAGCAAAGAGAGCCGAAAGAGGAAGTGGGAAAGAGCAGTGCTTTCCCCACAATCCTCTCTTGGTTCTTTGTACCTTTCAACCCTCTCACTAGCTCATGATTGGGGGGCCAACGGAGGACTGCAAAAGTATCACAGTGCCCATGGATTAAAGGGACTGGTTTGCAGAGCCTGAAGAAAAGGCGGAGAGGAGCAGGGTAATATGCTTCAAATGCGCCCAAAAGGCTGTCCCGTGGAAGACTGCATAGACTTGTTCCCTGCTGCCTCCAGGGGCAGAACTAGCTCCACTGGGATTGGATAAGAGAAGCTGAACATTAGGAAAACCTAAGAATAAAAAGAGTTCAGTAATGAGACCAGTTAATGGGAGCTGTCTCTTAGGTGTTCTCCCTGAATTTTCTGCATTGAGCAGGTACCTGGACCAGGTGGCCTCCAAGTCTACCGTTAACAGTTTTTGTAGGGCATGCTTATGTTGGTTTTATGCCAGTGTTGACTGTCATTGCCACACACACACCTTGGAGTTGTAGTTCAGTGAAGTTGTAAACTATTCTGCTGCTGGTATTTCAGAGTGTGAGTAACCAGCGATGGAGCTGGGTCGAATGGTGTGGCAATAGACACGCACACCTGACTCCAGAAACAAGCTTTCTATCATGGATAGCTGCTTGGCAGGTCTGTAGGATATCTTGGCACCACCTGATGGTTGTCCAGAGAACTGTTTCTCCATGCAAGGCAGGCACCCCTAGTGGGGAGGCAGGAAAGAGTTCATGGCTGCTGCTGCTGCTGCTGCTGCTGCTGCAATAATAGGAAAAGACTCGTTCTCCATGCTTGTCAGCTTGGTTGTCAACACTGAAGAGCAGCCACTCCTCCTGTTGCAAGGATTTTAAAATAGCATTTTTATTGATTAAGATGTTTGCAAACTCTCTTTCACCAAAGGGATCTTAACAACACAAGGAGGTTTCCTGGGGATCCAGGAAAACAGAGCCCTCTTCCACTTCTAAAAAGATGCACATTGTGGAAGTGCATTGTTAAGAGTTGAGCTGAGGGATGCCCTGGTTGCTTCTGTCCAGTCGTGGTGGTGCTCATGGTTTCCTCTTCTCCTAGGAGTGATCCTCTTGCTGCTGGAGCGCCTACGCCGAATCGGCTGGGAGCAGATGTGGCGCCTGACAGCCGAGAGGGAGCTCATGAGCATGCTGTCCACCTCGCTGGCTGACCAGGCAAGTGCTCTGAGCCCTGCATGCCTCGCTGTCCTCCAGCCTGGGCCCCCGGACACACCTTTTGTCTCCTGCAGACATTGTGGGTTGTAGCGGGATAAAGACCTATTTATTTCTTCCTCGTTTGGCTTCACACTTGATTTTACTCTGGGCCTTTCTCCTCTTCCAGAGTGCCCAGTGTGCAAACTGCAATCTCTCTTTTAGGACATTTTTAATGCAGTGATCAAACAGAGCCCAACGCTGGTATACCAACTCCCTTGCTTCTGGAACGTGCAGCTCTCTGATCACACCCGCGCGGAGCAGTGCTACACAGAGGTGTCTGATCTTAAGGTGGGCATTTCCCCCCTGGCTGAGTCTTTCCTGAATTCCTTTTGCAACAGTGACCCTTGGCTGAGCCTTCCAGGCATTGCCAGTCTAGGACAATGTTAGTTCTGCAGGGGCTTGACTGAAGATGTGGAGTGGATTGGCACCTGTAACCAGCCTTATGTTTTAGCTATCTGTTCTCAGGTGATCCACTGGAACTCTCCCAAGAAGCTGCGGGTGAAGAATAAGCACGTGGAGTTCTTCCGGAACCTCTACTTGACGTTCCTCGAGTATGATGGCAACCTGCTGCGCAGGGAGCTTTTTGGCTGTGCCAGCCTCCCCAGCTTGCCCAGTGGCCAGGTAGGAGCCTAATTTTCTATCCTCCTCCCTTCTCCTCATGCCTGAAATGGAAAATCCCTCCAGACTTCCCATTTACTTAGCTGCTCTCTTAAATGGAGGGGGTGTGTAGCTCAAAAAACTATGTGCATGCCTTACTATGCAACCTGGCCTCTTTAAAACCCTGATTGTCTCGGGCTCCTTTTCTAAGTGAGGCGTCTTCATTCCAGCTCAGTTACCCGGTGATGATGATTTTTAGTCCTTGTTCTAATTGCACCCATTTTGCTTGGGTTTCATTCTTCTAGTTTTTATTCCTAATAAAATGTAATGGCAAACCTAAAGAAATCTGGCACGTTTTCACCACATTCAGAACAACGCACTCGCATTATTTCATAGGATTAGTGGACTGATGAGGTTATGTTCTGCTTAGTACAAAACTCAAGACCATGGGTAGGCAACCTAAGGCCTGAGGGCCAGATCAGGCCCAATCGCCTTCTCAATCCGGTCCGTGGAATCAGTGTGTTTTTACATGAATAGAATGTGTCCTTTTATTTAAAATGCATCTCTGAGTTATTTGTGGGGCCTGCCTGGTGTTTTTACATGAGTAGAACGTGTCCTTTTATTTAAAATGCATCTGTAGGTTATTTGTGGGGCATAGGAATTCGTTCATTCCCCCCCCTTATAGTCTGGCCCCCTACAGGGCCTGAGGGACAATGGATCGGCCCCCTGCTGAAAAAGTTTGCTGACCCCTGCTCCGGACCCTCCCCACTCTCCCAGCAGTATCTCAGGCTCTAGAAACCCTGCCCTTTAAAGCTGCTTTGTGGCTGTGCTTCACTCTAGGTCAACTTGCCAACTTAGCCTTATCACTCTGTCCTTGTCCTCTCACCCCTGCATAAAATTTAGCTCCAGCAGGCCCTAGAGGAGCTGGATGAAGACGATCCTTGCTATGATTTTCGGAGGCAGAGCCTTATTCAGCACCGGGTGCATCTCTTCTTCCTGCAGTACGATTTCCCGATCTTGGCTGATGCAATTGATGTCACTCTTGTAGCTCAGCTCTCCATGGACAGGTACCAGATGGGAAAGGAAGAGGGGGAGATGTTGTGCCTTCCAGCATAAATTCTTCTGCTTGGGAGCTAAACGTCCAGCCAGCTTGTGGCTCTTTTATATGAATTTATTGGTCCAGCAGGCCTCTGTGCCCAAGCTGAGTTAATCAAACTGGAAATCTCTGTGGCAATATTCTCACTGCCCAGCTGCGAGGGTGACTATCCTTTCCAGAGAATTCTGCTTTTATTTATTTTTTAGAATGGGTTTCTGTCACCCAGAGTTGCTGGGAAATATTTAGCAAAAGATGACTAGTATCCCTTGAATACTAGAATAGAAGAACTATGGCAGTTTTCTATGTGGTGGAAGGAAGAATCTTGAGGATTATGAAGAATGGATAGAAGATAAAACCTATGAAAGGAACAAAAACTAGCTGCATGAGTCAGAAAATGGGTGCAATGGTGCAAGCCAGCCATTAAAAGAATGGTTCTGATGGTGGCAGAAGGGCTGGGCAATAGTTAGGAAGAGGGGCAACACAAAACCAGTACTGTCCAGATCAGTTGTGCCAAGGTTTGTAAGGTTATATTTTAAGAAGCCAAGGAATCGTGTGCAAATGGTGGCAGCTTCCAGGACGTAGTGTAGACAGCCCCCTCTGATACAATTATCAACAGAAGCTTGCACACACAAGAAACCAGGAAGGAAAAACTCACTGCAGGACTGGATGCAGATTCTCATGTTCCTTCAGGCCTGGGTGGCTCAGCCTTGTGGCTTTTTGTTGTTGCCAACTGAGGGTGTCTTGCACTCTTGACTTGTCCCATTGATTTGCAGGTTACAGATGCTGGAGGCCATATGCAAACACTGGACAGGCCCCATTAGTCTGGCGTTGTATATGTCAGATGCAGAGGCCCAGCAATTCCTGCGCTATGCCCAGGCCTCGGAAGTGCTGAGTAACCGCAGGAACGTTGCCTATCACATTGTGTACAAGGAAGGGCAGTTTTACCCGGTCAACTTCTTGCGCAACGTAGCATTGAAGAATGCACAGACATCTTACGTTTTCCTGACAGACATTGACTTCCTGCCTATGTATGGCCTCTATGATTATCTCAGGTGCGTGCTTTGCCCTTTCCCAGCCTGTGTAAAGCGGTAGACACTTCCATACTGGGAGAGGCTGGCTCCACCAGTATGTGTCGGTCCCATGCCAGCACTGAACATTTTTCATGGGGAAGGGATACCGGATGCTTGGACTCCTCCATTTAGCAACAGACCAACAGCATTTCCCCCTCCCCTTTGTGCCTCAGGACCTCCATTTTGCAGCTTGAGCTGCCCCAAAGGAAGGCAGCCCTCATTGTGCCTGCATTTGAGACTCTGCATTACCGCCTCACCTTCCCCAAATCCAAAGCGGAGCTGCTCTCCATGCTGGACATGGGCTCCCTCTATACCTTCAGGTAAGTGTTGGGACAAAAACAACCCTCGCTAGCAGCTGAAATGTTGGCTCAACCAATTGCTGGACTGCCCTCTGAAACCAGATAACAGGCCTGACCAGCCCCAGCACTTAACCCTTCTTAGTGGTGGCTTGCAGCCTAAGATTTGACTGGCCATTTGTAACTGGCATATGTGCATTCATTCTTCTGTTGGGATGTAGGGGCACAATTTGCCCCCTCTTTATTTTCATTCCATGTTGTCCCCTCTCCCTGCTTTGGAGCCCCATGCTGAGCATGATATATTTTAAATAAATAATCCCTTTCCTCATTTCCATCCCCCCCAACTCTTTGTTGGATCCTATGATTCTTCTGCTTTTCCTCATGCCCTTTTTCTTAGTCCTGGGCTCATCCAGTTCCCAGCCACCTGTTAGGGCACAGCTGTGCACTCACAGGGGCATATTTGCATCATTGCCATTTTACAGATGGGGAGTTGAGACCAAGGTGACTTTGCCCTGGCCATGCTGTGGATCTGTGGCAAAGCTAAGACATGAAGCCCGATCTCCCTCATCCAAGCCCAATCCTGCCCTGCTGACTAAAGAGGTTCAGAATGGCTCTAAGAGGCTGGCTACCCCAGGCAGTGTGGTGCAGTGGTCGGAGTGTCATACTAGGCGACAAGGAGTCCGAGGTGCAGACTTTTCTCAGCTCCCTTGTGTATCTGTGTGCAGGTACCATGTGTGGCCTCAGGGCCATGCCCCTACGGACTATGCCAAGTGGCGGACAGCCACGGTGCCCTATCGCGTGGAGTGGCAGCTGCACTTTGAGCCTTACGTTGTAGTGAGGCGCGACTGCCCCCTATATGACCAGAGATTTGTCGGTTTTGGCTGGAACAAGGTGTCTCACATCATGGAGCTTGACGCCCAGGTGAGTGTGATGCTTAATGTCTCCCGCAAGGTTGCCTCTTTATGCGTTCCCTGAAATCCAGGGCTGGGGTGTGTGGCTTCCGTGGGAGCCGGCCTTTCCAGCAACTTCATGCCTTTTTGTAGGAGAATGAGCTGCTGGTCTTGCCCAATGCCTTCATGATCCATATGCCTCACGCACCCAGTTTTGACATCTCCAAGTTCCGCCTGAGCTCCACTTACCGCGACTGCCTGGAGACCCTGCGGGAGGAGTTTCACCAGGACCTGTCGCGCAAGTACGGCGCTGCTGCACTCAAATACCTCACCGCCGAGAGAAGCCTGTGAACGGCAAGACGCACACCAAAGGACAGTCCGTGCAAGGCAACTCATGCCCTGCAGAGGAGGGACAGCAGACCACGCTCATGTCCTGGAGCAGTTCAGACCTACGGCAGAGCCACCCTCCCAATGGTAGCCAGGTGCTACACACTTTGTCTAAGTTGTGGGTACAATTGCAGCCAGTTGGGTTGGGGCAGGTGGCATATCATTCATGGCTATGGAGCCAATCAAAACAATGCTCCCAATCTAAATCAGGCAAGTTACATACATTTGTGTACATCTGTTTCCAAATTGAGGGGGGAAGCATGGGAATGAAGAGGAGGAACGGTGTGCTCCTGAGGTGACATCCTGGAGAGCCACTTCCTGTTGGTGTAGACGGTAATGAGGACAGACCAGTGGCCTGACTCTAAGGCAACTTCCTCTGTTGCTGTTTTGAAGGTGGGCCTTTCCCGCCCCATGAGCCTGATGCCTTAATACAGCTACAGTCACCTGTTTCCTGTGGTAGAAACGTAGACTGGTTGTGGAAATTGAGACTTCTACTAATGTGTTGTGTCCCTCTATCAGTGTAGTAGCCCCATCCTATTTCCAGCTCTTTCATTTGTCCCCTCCAAGCCAAAACCAATTAGTCAATTATGACTAAATCATATAAAGTGAGCATCTAGAAAATCTTATGTGAGCTATTCCTATACATGTGGCAAGAGGGACTGTATGCATATACAGGCAACCCAATTTGTGCATGGGTTGTGTTTCAAGGTACTGTGCATGTCGGTGGAGCATGCATAAGCCCACCCCGCCCTGTCACACCATCTTGCAGGTCCAAAACCAGTGTATGTGTGCACAGTTGCACGTTCTTTGAACCCATGCAAAACAGGAGTTGCCTGTACCCTGCCTTTTACAAATCTGCATAGCCTTCCTGTTGGTCATGGATCAGGGCTTTACTGGTGGGAAAAGGATGATGTGGGACCTATTCTGAAAGAGTTTAAAGTGGGGAACCTGAGCTCTAGGGGCTGCATGTGACCCTGCTTATCTCTATGGGTGCGGCCTTTCCTTTCCTTTTTATGATGTGTTTGTAGAGAAGCCCTGCACTGGAATAGAAAATATTTTAGCACAGGGTTTCCCTACACACACACAACTACACAAGGAAGAAGAGTCATAACTGTTGCTTCACCCACATTCTGCCTTCGGTGCTATTGACCACCACCAAGAAATGTGGCTGTCAGGGGTGTTGGTAAGGAACCTTCTCTCCAACCTGCCTTGTGCTTACTTCATGGATAACGTTACTATCTAGAAAAAAGCCTAGTGTAAGGAAAACCAGGTCCTTGTTCCAGGGGCTATATAGCGCACATGCTTTGCTGTGAGTACATGGCTGAAACCAAGATCCCTTTAGTCCAAACGAACTTCTTTCCAACAGGGTTCAGGCGAGGATCCTTGAAAATGTGTAAGCAGGGCATTTTGGAAAAAGCCCAAACCCTGCTTGCCTATTTGCCCCCCACCCCCACATCTAAAATACGGGTGTAGTTCATCTCACCAGAGCTAAATAGAACCTCTTATCATGGCTACTACTCAGTAAATCTTGTTTAGCTTGATGTTGCACATCATTGCCAAACATACTTTCCCCCTCCCATGGAGGAACGCAAGTCTTGCCCTTCCTATATCTGCTGGAATATGGCCTTGATCAGCTGCTTTCCTGAGTAAATATTAGCTCAAACTGTGTTTGTATGATCAGGACCAAGGACTGCACAATTGGGCCTTGTGCAGGAGTCCATAATGGAATCGGATTGTCTTCAGTCTAGATGCAGTTAAGTGTCACAGCTGATTACAGATTAAGTCTGTGCAACCATGGAAGTAGGCAAGTCATTGCATGCAGGCTGCCGTCCTGATAGCTGCTTGTTGAACCTGATGCTCGAAGGGACTAATTCCACTTCTTGAAAAAAGGAACACAGGTGCATCTTGCTGTATCTGCAACTGACGTAGGGTCTGTTAATGAATGCTGTAGCTGAATGTCTGTGCTGGGAGCAGCTTCAGCCCAGCCATGGTCCACAATTATCAAACACTGGAGCACAAGGATGGAGATGTAATGGGAAAACTCTTTCCTTGCTGTTTATATAATTTAAGGTGATTTCTCACAAGCTGTAAATGATTTGGGTGTCATAGATTTTCTGGTAGTTTCTCTCTTTGGTTCTGGAGTCTGTCTAGGGTCTTCTGCTGCTGGACTCTTTGATTTTTCCTTTGATTTCCTGGAATTCAAGAGCTTCCAAAGTGCTGGGATTAGTTTTCCATCCCTCTAGACAGGATGATGTAAACGCTGAAACTGTCCCACACTGAGCACTGTACAGCATGGGCACAAGTATTCCTTTTTAAAAAAACATTAAAGTTTTGAGGAAAATCCTTTTCAAGCTGCTGTGAGAGTTGTTTGGTTATTATGTCCACATAGTATTAATGCTTTCCTCATTTCTACTAGTCATGAAAATGAGGAACAGGGGAGAGAACAAACTAGAGAAACAATTCCTTCAGAGAACTCTTGGCTACAACCCACAAATCTGCCAGGGACAGGAAAGTATTCTGCATGGTATCCAACTTTCTTTTACTCGAAGTAGATCCACTGAAGTTAGGGAGCCTTAGACAAGTTAATTAGTCATCATTTTCAACAGGTCTACTTTCTGAGTAAAACTTAGTTACCACCCACTTGGCACAATACATACAGGAAGCTATTACCAGACGTTGAAGCCCAGTTGACTTACTCTACAGCCCTTATAGGACCAAGCTGTCAGTGACTGCAGTAGACTTTGCCAAGTTCAGGTCATTGCCAACTCTCCTTGCAGGTCCAGGGAGCTTTAAATTCTGTAAAGAAGGGAAACTGAAGCCCAGACTCTTTACCATTATAAAACTTTATATTTTATTTTTCTACAGGCCAAGAAATAATAAGTATAGGAGAGGTTCAGCTTTGCAGGCGTGCTGTAAAGGTCCCCTACCTGCTTTTGTGGCTAATCAGCTGTGATATCATAGATATTGCAAACCTTTAACTGCTCAGAAGAACAGCCTCAAAGTGTAGAATGAGGAGGACTGGAGGGAAGCATAAGGTCAGTACAGCTGGGAAAAGACCACATTGCATTGGAGGATTTTGAAAATGGGAGAAAGGAGCTCAATATAGGATAGCAGAGCACTAAATGGACAAAAGACTCTCGCCTATACCAAAAGCATGCGATGGTGAAGAAAACTGTTGCAATGGGGCCCCAGGGGAAAAGGCCAAGTGAGGAGAATTGAAAGGATGGGAGAGGGGAGCTGAAACGCAGCTCTGAGTGTTCTCTATTTATATGGGGCATACACTAGAAATACAAGACAGAATTAGGCCTCGGGCTAGCCTTAGTTTCATTCAGTTATGTATTCTTAGCTCCCTGGCAGTACCCCTGCCATGACTGGCAAGCAGCCGCCTTTCCAAATCCTGGAAGTGCCAATATTGATCTGCCTGCAGTGTCTGCACCTTTAGGGTGTGGCACAACATACCTGTTTGCAGTTAAACCTTCAGCTTTGATGGGAGAAGCTGCATTTCTCTTCGTTTGCAGCTTCAGTGTGGACAAAGCAAAGGGGGGTCAGCACACATGAACACAGCTGCATGATAAACAACTAGAGACAATAGATTTCATAGTTTTATTTAGTAAAATGTTAAATAAATACAAATTGATCGTTTATTCTGGACCCCTTCTTTTTCTTCCCACCTTAATAGACTAAAATCTAGACACAATTGTACCAAACCCACAAGGGACTGGAAGGCTACAGAAAAGAAGGCAGCAAAGAGACTGCAAATCACTATGAGCACCAGGCTATTCAATTTCTTAAAAAAAAGAAAAAGAAAAACTTAACAAAAAAGAAACCCACCTAACCAACAGAAGTCATGCATCCATATAACATTCACAGGGTGTTGATCTGTGAAAGCAATATTGTGCCCAGTTCACTTAAAGGTATGGGAACTCAGGATGGATGCAGAGGCAGTACGAGTGAGGTTGAGTTTATCTGGCACAAACATCAGGAGAAGAAGAGATGGGAGGATGCTGGCTATGTATGAATCAATACATCAGTGTACATGGGGGAGGAGGGTTTAGAAACCCACTGCCTTAAAAACAAAGGCTGTGAATTTCCTTTTAGGGTCATGGCCTCTTTCACAGACCACTTATTTCAAAGAGTCCTTATTCCAGTTACTAGAAATATTCTGGCTTCAACAATGGTCTTGAGACACAGATGGGATAGTTGGCTAGTAAGCAGCCCACTGCCGTTTCCTCTACTACCGAAGAATGGAATGAAACTACAACATAAGCCACAGGTGAGTGTAACATCCAACAAACCACTTGGACTTGACAGAGTAGAAAAGCTAAGGACTATTCAGTATTTGCTAGCTCAGATATGACCAAACTGACATACAATTTCAAGATAAAACTTTATTGATAATGCCCGTTCTTAGTCTTGGTTCACTTCTCACAGGCCTGTTGTTCTTAATGTAAATTGGCACTAATAGGACTTTTCAATTGGTGTACTACTGAAAGACTCCAATGCAACCAGCAAGGGTGTGTAGACCCCTGCTGTTCAATCCCATAGGAAGAGTGAAGAGTGAAGGACCAGCTTAGCCCAATCCTTGCTAAAGCACGTTCTCTCAACAAGGCGCCTTCCTTCACTGTGGGGATGTACAGGTGTGGCACTGTGGAGTGAGCAGACTCCCCAGCAGATTGGGATGCAGGTACAGCACTTATTGCTGGGGGAGTGGATGGTGGACTCCAACACTCACCCTCTAGGCTCACGTAACTGAGCTGCAAAGGGAGCCCTGGCTAAACTCAAGCGGAGCATGTGCTAGGGGAAGGGGGATGATAAATGCCAGGGTCAATAACTATTTATTCCAACCACAATAAAAATGGAGGTGCTGTGCAGAGCCATTTCTAAAAGCTGCCAACACTGATGCAGATAATGACAGCTTCACCTGGGAATGTTTGCTGTTGTCCATTCTTGGTCACGTAAAGAAACACTCAGCACCTGGGCAAAATTATAGACCCCATAACAAAGAGGCTTCTTATCATCCTCAGCTGATGGGAAGGAAATTAGATGCTGTAATTGTCACTGAGTTTAGGCCTTTCTGTTTTTGTTACCTGCAATGTCATTTGCAGAGGGTTAAACCGGGATTTAGCACATAATTGAGCATTGTTGTAACCTGCATACATATTAGAAAACAAGTTAAAAAAAAAGCCTCCTAAACTTTATTGGGGGGAGGGGGAGGCATTTCTGCTTACCCTGGACCCAGATACAACTGTGGGACTTCCCCCTTATACTTAGAAGTGTGTGGGACACAAGAAATAGCTGCATTTGCAAACCTGTTTGAATGGGGACGCTGTTAGATGTACACTGCATTGCTGGATTGACCAAGGGCACCAAACTAAAATAGCAATGTTACAGTGCTGGGGCTGGGGGGGGTTGAAAGTACACAGAATTGTTGGGCCGAATGAGAGAAATGTTTTTGCACAAGTACTGCCTATCATCTTCTAATTTGTATTTTCCAATCACAAATGCATGGGCTATGCTTGCGGCAATTTCCCAACAACTAGGAAGCTGTAGTTATTCTTGTAACAGTGTCTCTTCAGTAAAAAAAAAGATTAAATCTGGTACAAGACTTCTTTAGCACCAGAAAAGTCACAAGTTCAAATAGGTTCCACCTTACAACAACTAATGGAGTCTGACCACACAATGCATTATTCCCATTTTCAATTGCAAATAAAAACTCCCAGCTGCATCCTCAAATATGGATGGGTACTATCTGGACTTTGCTGCACCAGCCCATGAGCATACACCCTGACATTCACACAGCGTACCACAAATGAGCCAAGGCAGCAGCAGGCAACTCCTGCAGAATGTTTAGGAGTAGGATGTAAATAGGCAATGTCATCTGCATGCAAGCAACTAGCCAGGATCCAGCCTTCAGGTGCAGAACACTGTCCTCTCATAGTACTAATTATGTTTCTGAATTCTAAGAAAATCAGGGTGACAAACTTGTTACCCTGATGAACAAAGAAACTGTGGTTCCCCTACGTTTTCTCAAGGCAAAAGGAAATCTGACACATCTGCTACCCAAGCAAGGATCTTTCTGCACAGCCAGACAAAACATGCCCAAACTTTATTTTCTCCTTCTGCTATATTTCCAGAAGCCAAATCCCTCTTATACTTAGCTGGTGGCATTTCCAGGACAGGAGACGCCAGCGAGGCAGGGGTGAAGGGGCAAGGAGAGAAATACACACAAAATCAGAAGAATGACACAATTAAAGATTCACAAGAGTACCTTGCTGCTCTTCACTTTAAACTAGCTGATCACTCCAGTGCTGCAGGCTAAGCAAAGTTGTACTACAGATGTCACTAGTCAAGAGAGGCCAAATGTAAAGTAATCCCCCCCCCCAAAAAAAACCCCATGGCTAAATCCAAAGCAAGGTTTCAACACATGGGAGACCTTAGTATAATAAATTGTTTTCCCTTCAGAAAGTACCAGGGGTTAACTGTGAGCCCCATTGTGGGGGCATAAAGGTAGCATGTTATTAATACTACTTTGCTGAGGCACAGTTTTTAAATTGCTTAAAAGTGGAAGGTAGCAGACAAATGCCCCTTCCTCAGGGCAGATCAACACATCTCTTCCCCTTCCCCTTACAACTGCCTTGCACTGAGCTCTCGTCTTCCCTCTCTGCACTGTGTAGTACAACTTTTCATTACCTGACGACACTGCAGGGTTTGCAGAACACAAAGGAGGCATAGAATTCAACACAAGATCACTATTTTTGGCACCTGTTCCATGTTTAAGATAAAGCGAATAGTTCTGCACTCCCTGCACCTTACATCATAGGCTAAGAGGGCATGATGGCCATTGCCCAAATTCATGCATGTGTGGCCATTCTGAACGAACTTATGGCTTTAAGGGAAAAGAATACAAGGATGGCAAGTGTGTTTGGTGAGGGGAAGGAAGGGCCACATGAACATGGGAACAGCTGAAATCAGAAATCCCATTCGCCTGCCTCTGTCAACAGCCAACACCAATTTATCAACCAGAAGAGGGTAATTGGCTTCCTCCTGTTCCTTGCTGCTGGAAATCCAGCTTCTGGCCTGAAATACGAGGACTTGTCTATTTTTCACCCGTTACACTCAGAATATCTAAATGTAGGTTTGCAAATTGTGTGACCCATCAAGCCAAATGCAAACCACCCAACACACACGGTTGCTTGTTTGCTGCACTCAAAGGCAGGCAAAACCAGGAGGATTATCAGGGATCTGGTGGGCTACATTTGTCTTGGTAGGTCACAAGATGAAAAGGCCTCTCAAACATGCCCCAAACGATATTTTGCTCTGTGTATTGCTATAAAAAGTGTTATTTCCTCTGAGCAATTTTCCTGATTGGCTGCCTTCTGGCTTTACTTGCTAATAACACCAGGTACTTAGAAAGCTGCCAACTTCACTACGGAGTATCAAAAGTCAAATGGTAAGGCCTGATCTTTTTCAAACGTAAAGCTAAGGCTATTTGACACGAATTGTCCTTACTCTTCACTGATATGTATAGTGATAAAAAATCAGCTGCTGGACCGTGAGCATAACTGAGTGTCACTGAGGAGTCCTTGAGGGACAAGACTGGAGGCTAGAAGTAAAGAAACCGCCACAAACCATGAGTGGCAGGAACAAAATTCAGGTGATTATGTAAATAAAGTGCATTAGGATGCATAGTTCTTCAACACAGAATAGTAAAAGCATGGCAGCACCATCACTGGCTGTCTGACAGAGGAGAGACTTTCTAACATGGACCCGGGCTGACTGCCATGACGCCAACATGAGTGCTGCCATGGAAGTGAAAGGGTATGAAATATTGGCCGTTTGCACTTGTCTATGCAAAGGTGGCTATTTCAGACTCGCTCATCTCATGTCCAGCACCAGCATTTTAATAGCATGAAATTACTGCGACAATTTGCTTCAGAAGACAGACAAGCTGTGCTAAGCAGAGCCAGATCTCAACGCTAAAATCCTTTGCCTCCACGTTCTCCCTATAATCTAGGTGCTATAACGACAAAGATTTTTAAATGCTGCCAATGCTCTCTTGTGCTTTTAAGCACAAGAGTTAATTAGGAGAGCTTAACAGAGGAGAAATTCCACCAGTTGGAGGAAGGTTTGCAGACTGGATGCAGTTCAACCCCACAGGCTATTTGAATGGCATGACAATCTCTCGACACTCACCCCCAAGGCATTTTTCAAACAGAAACACAGCAGAATGGCAACATCATAAGCAAAACCTGTGTTAAAAAATTCTAAGTACACAGCATTTTCTCCAGTTCTGACACCTTTTTAATAGAAATCACTTGTTTAGGAAACAAATAGCACTTTTGTAATTTTTACAATGTTTCTTACCTTGATCTTATTTTTAAGTAACACTAGGAAGACCTCAATATCTTTTTTCTTTTTTAATTTAAAAAAGTTGTTTTTCCCCCAGATACAAAGATTTTGCCCTTGCATAAAAAACAGTGCCCAAAACGATGACACACGGACTCACAAAGACTCACTGTATCTCACTGACACTATTACTTCTAATCTATACCATGCAAGGTCCCATCTACCTCTTTAATCGGACTGTCAGCCTGAAAAAACAGCTTTTCTATTCCTTACATTTGTAACCAAAAGAGAAAGGAAACAAAGGAAACAGGCATTTAATTTTTTTTTTTGTTTTTTTTACTATTTGGGCCATATGTTTGGGACATGTGCTGTACTGTTTGGAATATCACTTTTGCTTGACAAGTGTACAAAAAAAAAAAAAAGTTGGAATTTTCATTTCAGTCGTGACCCGCTTTTCTGAAACCCCAGGCTGATTATATTAGTCCCCCTCCCTTCTCCTTTTCCTCAGCAAAAGCTTCCTGGGCCAATGTGATGCCCAAACCAGCAATTTATTTCACTTGTCTATTTGGAAAAAAAAGTGGATAAACCCAAAGCTGCCAATCTAGTAATCCCCAGCCTGAGTGTGCACTAGATACTTAGTGAAAAACCCTTCCCCATTCCTTTTTGTCTCTCCTGTCAAAACAATAGTGAATACTGCTTATTGGATAGGCTTGGTCCCCACTCCCACCACCCCACCCCCTCTGGACCCTAGGACTTGTTAATTCATATTTCTGGATTTTTGGTTTAGTAGTACGGAGAATTCAGAAACAGGAAAAGCCCACAGGCTCTTTGGACTTGAAGTTTCCTTAGCTAAACAAACTGGTCTGCAGATAAGATTTGAAACCTGCTCCTCCTCCCTGCTCCCCACCCCCAAATAAAAACAAAAACAAAACAAACCTAGAGTGGCTGTGGAGGCTGCTGCAGGCACACACTGGTGTAAAAGAGAGAAAGAGAGAGAGAGAGAGTAAATATATTATTTAACTTGGCATGGTGCTGGCAAAGAACCTCCAGCTGGCACTATTCATGTAACATGGTCCAAACTTTGCACGTACACACAGAATAAGGAGGATCGATTGGCAACTCTGGTGCTGCCTGGCACAAGCCTCTTCGCGCTCTTTCTGGAACCAAAGAGTTCTGCGCTTTCCAGAAGAAATCCAGCTTTTCTTTTCTAGAGTTTTATTGTTTTGCTCTTCTGCCTCGCCGCCATCTCCCCCGGCTCCTTCTTCCTGTGCTATGTTATTTAGTCTCGTCGCCCTTGGTACAGTTCACCATGCAGCTCTGGGAGGGGGAAGAGGCTGGGGTGGAGGCGGCGGCAGCCTTTGCGTTATTGGTGGAGTCCATGCCATTGGAGATGGCGACGGAACTGCCCTCAGAGTTTATGGGTTTTGAAAGGTTGATGCCCTGGATGAGGCGAATTAACTGTTTTACCTTCTCCAATGAACTGTGCATTTCCTTCTGTTTTGCCAGGATGGTGTTCTTCATTTCCATACATTTCTGAAGCAGATTGGAACGACATTGCATTAAGGAGTGCGCTCATAAAAAAAAGGCCCAAACGAGAAAGCAAAGGGATCCCAAGATCCACAAGAGACTGCAAAAACAGATTCTTTGTCAAAGCACCTGGTGGATACAACATGGCTCCCATACCAAATATAGCCCACATAGCAAACCAAAGAGTTCAAAGAAAGCAAATGCTATTTCACAGCCACGACTACAGCATATAGATTACAACTATGACTTAGCAGAGAAAAAGAAGCTCTAACAAACATAAGAAGCCGCCGAGACTTTTAAAAAACACCACCACGACAAAGCTGTGGTGAAGCATGGCTCAGAACTGATACTGTGATTGGTCACAGTAAACAGTCATTTTCTAAGATTCACGGCTGTAGCTTCTAGTGGAACACAGAGGATAAACAAACCATCATTTAGCACAGCAATACTTACTGTTATAGAATTGCTGAGCTGTTTGACTTTCTGTTCTAGCTGCTCCCTTTCCTGTTTTAAATCTGAACTCCATTTCAGTAATTTCTGTTTTTCCTCTTCTTTTGCTGTGAAAGAGAGTACATCAGTTGTATCAATTATGCCCTGCAGATGGGATCTCTCAGCTGCTTTTGCACAATGGAAAGCCAGTACTGGACCATACCTGAAGCTGCAGGTGCAGACATAAAGAGAGTCAGATGAAGCTGTCATATCCATTTCATTACTGGGGTTATCATGCAGTCAGCTCTTAATTTCCTTCTGAAAATAAACATCCTACTCCCTTCCTCAAAGTAACATTTTCCAAAGAAAAGAAAACCAAGCCAAGCCCTGCACCATTTTCTTACCTGCTTTGTATGCAATATATGAATGAACAATTGCTAAAGTTCCTGGCCACGGGATTGCTTCTTCTTTCTTTAGCATCTGAAAGAAAGGAGAAGGAACACTTGGCTGACGTGTTCTACCTCTAGGAAAGATGACACACGCTAAAGGGTTTCTTTCACAACAACTATTAAAATCAATGCCATTCTCTTCTTAGGCCCTCCCCAGGCAATAAAACAACTTAAAATCCCCCTTTGTTCTACTCTTGGGATGCTGTTAGTTCTGGTCCAGGACAAGAAGCCTGATGCTTTGTTGACATGTGATGGATGTGGGAGGCCAATGGGATAAAGAAATGAACCAGACTATATCCACATATCAAAAGGAGGGAGAGGAAGACTGTGCTGCAGTGCTATCAAGTGCATGGGGATAACACGTAACCTTTCAAGAACTAAATAAAAAACAGAAATTTCATAAAATGGTAAGGAAGAGTAGCCTTGTTGCTTTAAAGTCTACATTAAAAAACAAGATGAAGGCAATTACATGATCATTTCTATGCTTGGTTGTTTCAGCAGGCAAGCATTTAGCCCCTGAAGAATTAATTAAAAAAAATAAAAATCCCTAAATGGATAACAAAACAGTGAGGCACTAGTAGGAAGAAGGGGAATTGTGTTACTAATCACTAAAACATATGTGCCTGTGATATTCACAACCAGCTTATACCCAGCACTCACAATAGTATGCTGAAATGGGGAGCGGGGAGGGGGGAAGGAAATTCCAAGCCAAAGAATACTGAGGTTTGAGTACTGGGGAAATTCTTCAACAGAAGCATTATCCAAAAAAGATGCCTGATCCACAACTCAACACGCACCTCAAGCAAGTAAACATTGCATTTACTGCACACACAAAAACCTCCACAATAGTTTGGGAAGACCCTCAAGATTTAATAGCATGAAATACTCACACATCTGTGCTAAACCTCCCACAAGGGAAGCCTGTTTAATCACCATGTCAGCAATTTTGTACATTCCCTTGCATCTACAAACATTTTCTGCTGATGAAATTTTAACAAGCTGAACAGGAATGAAGAGACAACATATCTGATCTTAAAACTTGCCAGTAGAGAGGATTGTGACTTCATGATTCACAAACTGCTGATCTAATTAGCTAAAGGAAAAACACTCTGATAGCAAAGAGCAGTCTCCGTGGAGAAAACTACATGTTACTTTGGCAAACATGCATTTCCCACAAATATGTTTGTTGGTTAACAGCAATGCAGGAGTAGCGGGGCATTTCCAGAAGAGAATTGGTGGGTGGGAGACGGGTGTTTAATCATGTGGTTATTCATCACAAAACGTTCCTCCCCAGCTGGGCTTATTTTTGCTCTCAAAGCCAGCTATGGGGAAAGATTTAGCATCTATCTCATGCCTGCTAACTCTCACCTGTAAAATGCCCTGTGTCCCTGCATTATCATGCAAACATTGGTTTTCCAGCATGTAGCTTTGTCCTAGACCTTAAAATACTGGACTTTCCAACACATGTATTGTAGAATGAAGCTAACATTATATATATATATTGTGGAAGCAGAAATAGATAAAGATGCAAGTGGATCAAAGGGAATCTTCCCCGTAAGTCTTCAAGCTTTGCCATGGCAAATAAATGGCTGTTTAGTACCCTGAGATGTGGAACAGAAAAGCAAACGTTTGATGGCTTTGAATTTGTGAGGCCATTTCCGTTCAGGTCAGATATTTTCACCCTCTCAAAGTCTAAGCCATGTGCCCCACCCATTTTGCCAAAAGC